GTGCTTGAAGTTAGAATTTGATGTGTTCTAGGAATTGTACTAAATATATTCTTCACCTGTGTTAACACACAACAACCTATTTAGGTAGGTTTTCTTTTTTGTCTGTATAGGGGTAACAGCTGGGGCATCGAGAGGTAAATTAGCCTAGAGCCATACAGATAGCAAATGGTAGTGCCAGTATTCAAACCAGGATTGAAGCCTTTGTGTGCTTTTGTATTGGCTGCAAGCTCTGGATCTGGATCTAGATTTGGGAGTTGCTGTTTTAGCGATGCGGCTGCATTCTCAAAGAGAGAGTATATTTAAAGCAGGTTAGAGGACCAAAGATTGAGCAATTAGTAACATCCATAGTGGGAGAGGGGGCGTGTCAAGATTTAAAACAGTAGCCAGAGGAGAAGACCAGTGGGAGAATAAGAGTTAGCTTCAAAGAGTACTGTGTGGTAGAAACAAGAAGTGAAATACTTTTGGGACTGGTGAGCAATGCTGAATTCTCAGGGTACCCAAAGTGTGAGAGCTCACAAAGTGAGCTCAGTAGAAATACGTGCACAATACTTTCAAATCTGTACTATTTTGGCCTCCTTGACAGCATGCATTTAAGTCATTTGAATAAATGATGTACAGACGTTGTTCTGGCTGGCATGTGGTAAGGTCTGCTTGGAGTTGAGCTGGGTGGATTGCTGCAGCAGCCTGGAAGCAGTGGGTGAGGGCATGTGTCCTTGAGTGGTGTCTCCGTCAACTCCACCACTTTCTGGCTGTGTGACCTGAGACAAATTACTTAACCTTTTGGCACCTAAATTTCTTTATTTTCAATATGGAAATAATAATTAACCTTGTCGAGTTTTTGTAAGGAATCATGAGGTGGTGTTTGTAAAGCTCCTAGAACAGGGTTCCACATGCTGTAAGAGCCCAGTGTTAGCAGTTGTTAGCTATAGTACATACCGGTGGCCTCATACCACACCTGTGGTGTGAGTATCCATCATCTAACCCGTTTTTTGCTTGGTTCATTTGTTGCAACAGGACACTATGAATTGCTTTTTTATGTTATTCATATTTATTTTTATTTTTTCATAGCTTAACATTGATGCCAAAAGGAAAATTAAAACCCAGCTCCCTGCAGGTTAATTTAAGTGATTATTTTGGCACGTAGTTGTGCTTGAAGTTAGAATTTGATGTTTTTATATCATACTTGGAATCAGTCCACATACTCTAATAGATTTGTGATTTATTCTCATCTAACTTTTGATGCAAGAGAGTTCACTTAAATCATGAAGCATAATTGTGTAGATTTGCAAAGATCTTGGGGATTGTAGACAAGGATGCCTAAAATAAACTTTTGTTAGTGATTACTGATGTATCTGGGATCAAGATTATCTTTCTGGAAATTTCATATATGTATTTATAATCTAGCATCTAATGGAGAGGAAACAATTACAACAGTGATTATGGGTTTCTAAACTCTGAAAGAATCTTTAGGGAGCATCTGATTTAACTCCATTGTGTAGTTGAGAAAAATGAGGGTGACTGGCTAAAGTCACAGAGCTAGATAGCTGGCACAAGACTGAGGACAGAACTTGGATCTCCTGCCTCCCAGTCCTAACTAGTTTAACGCGTGCTTATGGTACAGTATATACTCAAATAGAAATGAGTGTGAAATCAAGAATGTAATGTACATGTTTTTTTCTCTCAAAATAAATTCTACAAAGAAATAAATTTTAAATGTTTTTATTAATATTTCATTCTCAAAAATGGCAAATGACTAGTGATCTAGTAGGAAATAGGATGAAAAAGACTCTTCTTTGAGTCTCTGTTTTTTTAATAGTAAATACTTAAAGCTAAATTTTCATTTTCACTAAAGGGTAAGAAATGGTACTTCTTGGTCGAGAAAGATGATGATTCATTAGTTCTCATTTTTATGTGTAGTTTAGGTTAATTAGGAACCTTTTGAAATCGGGTGTATTGAAGCTTTAATGTAGGCATAAGTTGGTTGAGCAGTTTTAATTAAAACTTACCTCTATTTTGGAGTTAATTACTTTCAATACTCTGAGATTAATGAGGCATAGTCCTGGCACCTCCCATGTTGTGGATACTCAATAAATATTAGTTTGGAAATTAGGACATACTTTGATGGTATTTTAGAATCTTATGTATATTATAATGTCATAGATTCATTCCCAAATCTAGGAAATACTCAACTATATCAGATTTTACTGGTTCAATTTAAATATTTTTCTTCCTATTTAATTTTAAAACTTCGTATTTTAAAATAACTTAAAATTTATAAAAATAAAAATACACACCTTTTTATATGCAGATATATGTATACACATGCACACAATTTTTTTTCTGAATCATTTGAGCTTGAGTTACATATACTATGCCCTCTTTCCTAAATACTTCAATGTGTGTTTCCTAAGAATAAAATATTCTCTTATATAAACACATTATACTTATTAAATCCATAAATGTACACTGATATTTTATTTACTGTTTCATCTGTATCCCCATTTTGACCTAATAAAGCCCTTTCTAGCCTTTTTCCCCTCTAGCACAGGGTCCAGGGTCAGCTACTGCATGTAGTTGTCATGTTTGTTAGCCTCCTTTTCAATCGAGAATAGTTCCACTGCCTTTCTTTGTCTCTTATGACATTGATGTGTTTGAAGAATACGTTCTTTGAGTTTGTCTGCTGTTTCCTTGTGATGAGGTTAAGGTTATGCATTCTCCATCAGAATGCTGTGTCAGTGACGCTGTCTAGAGGCACTTCATGGCTATCTGACACTACTGGTGATCTTAATTTTGATCACCCTGTTAAGGTGTTACCCAGTTTCCCCAATGCAGAGTTAAGGTTTTTTTCTCTCTCTTGTAACTAATAAGCAATCTCTAGGAAGACAAAGGCAAAATTTTCCCTAGATTTCAATCTGTTAATGACTCTTGCCTGACCTTTACCACAATGGTTGCAAAGAATGGATGTTCCTGTTCTAACACCCCCTCCACCCTTACCAGTTAGTCTTTGGCTTTCTTCTGTGGGCAAGAGCTGGCCCTTCTGGGTGTTTTTTTTTTTGTGTGTGTGTGTGTGTGTGTGTGTGTGTGTGTGTGTTTTGGTTTTTATCCATTTGAGCACTTCTTTACTTTCTGGTATAACAAAATATTTTGAGACCATCTTTTACCTTGTCCAAACTATAGCATTTAACATTTGTATGAGGAACCTAGTTCTATTTGGGGGGAGTGATTAGTAGAGACCAAGATCTGGATGCTGAGTGTGCTCATTGCTACTGTGGTATCTCTCTTTTGGCCCTTTTAGCAGACAGAGCTAGAAAATGTGTATGTACACACACACACACACACACACACACACACACACTTTTTGACATCATGAGTGTATACACCAATGCCTTCCATTTCAGTCCATCCCCACACAGTTCTTTTTTGTCTTCCTCCATTCCATTTTTGTGTGTCCTTTCTTCCATAGTGAGACACCATTTCCCAGCAGCATCAACACATTTATTCATTTGCTCATTCCTCTAATACAGTTAAAAATAGTTTCAGAGTTGCTTCACCTGTACTACTATAATAAGCAAACCTCGTAAAAAGAGTTGGGAATTTTGCAGTTCTCTCCTTCTGGCCTGAGACAATATATTATGGTCTTATAGACTTATATAAGTCATATATTGTCTTCGTAAATTACTTGGGTTCTTTCTTCCTTTTCTTCTTCCTTTATTCTTCAGTGTAGTTATATTATTCATTTGAACTAAAATTAGGCTCATTTGTTTTAGTTTATCTTCAATTGTAGGCTTCTCCCCATTTGTTTTAGTTTACCTTCAATTGTAGGCTTCTCCCCATTCCCATTCTTAGTATTTTAATTTGTAAATATGTAGAATATTAACATGCTTTCAAAAATAAAAGCTATAAAAAGATACCCTCTTTGGCCAGGCACATTGGCACACGCCTGTAATCCCCACACTTTGGGAGACTGAGGCGGACAGATCACTTGAGGTCAGGAGTTCGAGACCAGCCTGGCCAACATGGTAAAACTGTGTCTTTACTAAAAAATACAAAAGTTAGCCGGGTATGTTGGCAGGTGCCTGTAATCCCAGCTACTCAGGATGCTGAGGCGGAGAATTGCTTGAACCCAGGAGGCGGAGGTTTCAGTGAGCCATGATCACAACACTACACTCCAGCCTGGGTGACAGAGCAAGACTCCATCTCAAAAAACAAACAAACAAACAAAAAAACCCTCTTTAATATTTTGATTTGATCCCCATCTTCCCTTTTATGGAGTAAGAGATCTAAAACTAGCAAAAGGGCATTTATTGTAACTATATTTAATTTTGTGGTTATTTAAAATAAATTCCATCTATTGAGATTGTAAGGGAACTAAATTTTTGGAAACACACTTCAGGGCCAGTGATTTGTAACTTTGATTCCTGGAGATAGTAGATCTTGATTATTTTTTTATTCTTATAACACACCAGAAAGTGTCTAGTGTTTTCGGGAACTCCAGCTTCCATGCTGCAGTAACCAGTGGAGGTGGGAGTGCAGGAGGGATTCAGATATGCTCCCCAGCCCATTTTCAGAACACCTGCTATGGGATTAAAGAGAACATTAGAACCTTTCAAATGTGCCTGTGGCTGTGTGATAAGACATAGTAGTACTTACATAAAGTAAGCAAACACAAGAATTTTAGTTCCAGATTAACAGAAGCGAATATAAATATCACCTTCGTCCCACAGTTTGCAGCTTCCTTTATTTGTGGTTCAGCAAAGGTGCCTGTGTTGGAATTCTGTAGTTTTGTGATATTCTTGGCAGCATATCTGAAAAGCCACGCACTTACATGATTTATGCCTGTCTTGTGTTCACCATTTCTAATACTGTGTATGTTCAGTTTATAAATCTTTAATCTAGGATGAAGCTGTGGCACACCAGCTATAACTTAGCTGGTTGAAAGAGCTAAAGGTATCTAGATGGGAAGTGTCATGATACAGCTGTGTCTTTTCTCTTTGCCTCAGCCTTAATACAGATACTGGCAGCTGCTGCAGCTGAACGAGATGTGGTTTATTTCACCTTTGGGGACTCAGAATTGATGAGAGACATTTACAGCATGCACACTTTCCTTACTGAAAGGAACCTCACTGTTGGTAAGTAGGAGATACTCTTGACACTTGGTATCTGGATGGATTGTACAGCATTCAGTGGGAACACTTGCTAAATCTGGATGAATCACAGTGGGTATAAGGAAACAAAAGCATGGCTCTGAGCAGGAAGGACAAAGCTCTCAGAGGGGCAGCATTTGCAGTCTTTTTGTTCTGGCAAAGTTTCATCCACAGTCTTGACTGAGTACATCAGCTTACTAAAAAGTAAGGTCAAGAAGTTGGAGTTAGTGTTCATTTTTACTTTTGTGTATATAAAAACCTAAAGGGGAGAGATGAAGGAGGGTAAGTTCAGACCTAAGAAGCCCCACTGTCCTATTTCTCAGACCTGCCAGAGTTCATCCAGTGTGTTTGCTACCTTGAAAGCTAAGTATATAACGAGGGTTGCCATGAACTCTAGGAGGATGTATAGACAATGTACCATGTATAGCCTGTTGTTATCATGAGCTAAGAATTTCTTTCTTGAAAGAGTTTAAACAATTTTTAAAATTTATGTTGGGAAAGCCTTACAGGCATATGAAATTTATGCTGTATTTTTAAAAGTCAAATCTGAGCATATGCTATTTAGATTAAGATAAAACTGGAGTGTTCTTTCTAAGGTTTTTTAAATTGCATACTTAATATGCCTGTGATCTGACCTTTTACTGTACAGGAGAAGTGTATAAGCTGTTGCTACGATATTACAATGAAGAATGCAGAAACTGTTCCACCCCTGGACCAGACATCAAGCTTTATCCATTCATATACCATGCCACGGAGTCCTGTGCAGATACAACTGACCAGTCAGGGCAAAGGACAGGGACCTGAGGAGCCGAGCGAATAGCATCTCCTCCCACCTCCCACCAGAGATGTCCTGTTTGAGCTGTCAGGTGTAATATATGAATTGATTTAAGTTAATATAAATGTGTATATAATCCACATTTGTAGTCAAGGTCGCAATCTCTTCCACATGTATGCAGTTGTCAGTTGGTACATCTAGGCCCCCTCCATCCTGACCCATGTGGACTTAGATATGTTTTGTTTCTGTTTTCTTCTAGTTCAGTCTTCATTCTTTGATTTGTATTTCTTTTGTCCATCAGATCTCTTGTGAAATCCCATGAAAGGTTGTGCTCATTCTGTCAGGTCTCCTTTTTCCTGCCCATATATTATACCAATTGCTTCTGCAGCCTGCAGATGCCAGTGATGGCCAGGAACCAAGTTGAAATCCAGGAATCTCTTTAACTGATTTTGCTTAAAATCTCCCTATGAGCCTTCCACTCAACTCTTACTATGCTTGCATTAAGTTTTTAAAATCTGAAAATTAAGAATTAGGGTTTTTTTCATATATGCTGCATAATGCAAACCTCCTAGGTTAAAATAGTTTTTTTATTTAAGATAAATAATTTCCAGAAATTGCCCTTTTGAGACATCACCTTCATAACGGTTTGTCTGTCTTCCTCTGATCAGTTTTTATCGATACCATTTTTGGAAACTGAGATGAAAGGAAATGTGGAACAAAAGAGGGTTTTCCCGACGTGGTATAAAGAAAACAGATTCAAAAGGATTGAAGAGTTTTGTTTTTTTTTTTTTAATTTCTTGGTACTTTTTTTCTTTTTAAATTAGAGCTAATGTTTGTTTTGCGGTGCTTGAGGCATATTCATATAACCAAAGTTTGGGAACTGGGAGCTTCATGCTGATTTGTACATATTGAAGTTTCTCTGGTATTCAAAGGTTATATAGTGAATGGATTTTCAGTAATAAATCATTTTGTCAGAAACTCCTATATCATCTATATTTTATATATGTATATATAAACATGCTCTTGAAGTGTGTCTATATGTGAGCACATAAAATCTAAATAAAATTGGACTGGTGGGAAATGATTAGGTTTAGGCATTATCTGGGTTCTGTTTAACGTCCTTTGTCACAATTTTTTCCATTTTTAAATCTGGCAACAAACATAAACACTAATGTCTTTCAGAGGTTAAAGTGAAAACCAAAGCCAATCAATCCTGTGTTAACCAAGAGTAGGGTTTCATCACAGAAGCACTTACTACTCAGATTTCCAAAACAATCCTAAACCACCCTGTTGGTTTGGCTGATGGCCATATCTGTTTTTGTTTATGTAGAGATTAAGAGGATAGTGAATTTTGGCACCTGAAAGAAGCCATTTGTCACTGAAGTTTTTTACCACAATAACAAAGATTTTTAATCATCTCTCAAATTTGGAAGAATATGTCTTTAGTTCTGTTGATAATAAAATCTCCTCTTTCCTTTTCAGCTCATGCTATGCTTTGGTTGCAGGTTTCTTGATTGTTTCATGTCCTTACTTTTTCTAGCCCCCCACTCTTGCCCTCCTGCACAGCCCAAGACTAAGTGACCAGTTCTTTAAAATGTTTCAGGAACAGTGTAGGTTGGTTCTTGTGGTAGAGAAATCATTAATCCAAGTAAGAAGTCACCCGGCCGGGTACTCCAGAACACAGAAGCTAAGACTCAGTGCCTGCTGTTGCACAGGCTTAGTGGCGTGGCAGTCTTAACTGCCTCTTGCTGTGGGGAGATTTCCAAGAATAAAACCTGACTTCCGTTTTTATTTGTCCCATTATATTATGGTATTGGGACAGCTTAATCACATGGAACATAAAGAAAACTAATGTTCATTTTTTGAGGAAGGAGGAAAGTGAGGAAGGCACAATTACTTTGTCCCTAACAGCCCTCTGCAAAACAAATCAGAGCAACCATCTACTTAACATTTGTATCTATTCTGAGATATTTAACAGCACTTTTTAATTCTCTTTCATCTAGGGCTTCTTGTTGTAGTTCCTGTTGTTTATTCCTTCTTTCTTTAACATACCAAGGCATGAAAGAATATTTTTTGTTTAAAATACTTAGGTTTTTAATAACACCCATTTCATTTTCATTTTCCATCTATCTAGCTCACTCCAGTGTATAATCACAGTTTAAGGCAGCAATGTGCAGTCATGGAAAGGGCATGAGATTTTAAATCAGCCAAGCAGGGCTCACATGCCAGCCACATACCTAGCTAGTATGTCAACCTTGCCCACATCAACCACACACCTAGCTAGAAACTTGTCTAAATCAAGCGAATTTCTGGGTCAGCTAGAAAATGGGCTAATAGCACCTACTGGGAAATGAAATAATATAAAACACTGAACATAAGCTCCAACACAGATAGTGCTCAGTAAATGTCAGCTCTTCTAGTTGACCAGGAAACATTTATGAAGTACCTGCTGTATGTTAGCTACTATACTGGTTGCTATGCATATTTTAGCCCTTGTCTTTCCCACCCCTCCCCAACCCCAGTGAGCTAACAGATGCCCAGAGGTTAAGGAATGTGCAGTAGTCCCCCATTATCCATACTTTCAGTTACTTGAGGTCAGCCATGGTCTGAAAATATTAAATGGAAAATTCCAAAAATAAATAATTCCTAAATTCTAAATTGCACATCATTCTGAGTAGTGTGATGAAATCTCACACCATCCACCCAGGATGTGAGTCATCCCTTTGTCCAGCATAGCCACACTGTATGCACCATCCTCCCATTCATCATTTAGTAGCCCTCTTGGTTATCAGATTGACTGGGTATTACAGTGCTTATGTTCAAGTGGCCTTTATTTTACTTACTCATGGCCCCTACGTGCAAGAGTAGTGATGCTGGCAATTCAGATATGTCAAAGAGAAGCCATAAAGTACTTTCTTTAAGTGAAGAGGTTAAAGTGCTTGACTTAATAGGTAAAGAAAAAAAAATTATATGCTGAGGTTGCTAAGATGTATAGTAAGAATGAATCTTTTATCTGTGAAATCGTGAAGAAGGAAAAAAATTCCTGCTAGTTTTGCTATTGCACCTCAAACTGCAAAAGTTAGTGCAACAGTGCATGATAAATGCTTAGTAAATGATGGAAAAGGCATTGAAGACAGGAAACAGTGTGTTCTGATTGACAGCACATGGGTTTAGAGTTAGCCACAGGTTTAGGCATTTGCTGGGGGCCTTGGAATGTATCTTCCACAGATAAGGGGGCTACAATAGTACCATCCCAACCTCCAGGAGTTCGTTATGAAAGGGGTCTATTCCGCCATACCCACAGGCAATCTGATAGACCAAAAGTCCTGACACCCTTGTTCTCTCCCAAGGTCCTGGTGTAGTTTTTTCGTCATCGTGAGTGACTGGTTATCAGTGGGGAACATTCAGTCATCTCTGAGCGAATTGTCTCTATTCTGAGAGAATTGTCTCTTGCTGGATAAAATGACATTTTTTAGGGCAGCATATCTAAACTGATATTCAACAAGGGGATTGAAAGGAGATATAACTAAGTTCTATGACTGCTATGCCAGATAATTTCTCTCTGGTATATATTGCTCTGGAAACCAAATATTGACTAAGCTATCCCATTCCAAAAGTATATTGGAGCAAAAAATTAGTTAGGTTGCATTCTTGAAAACCTCAACAGGAAAAGAGGCAGCTATGCAGATTTCACCTGTTTTCTTTGTCTTCTCCAATCCATGTGTTTGCATGTCTGTGGCTTTGTTGTGATGCAGGGAAGACCTGACTGGTGTATCTGCTATATCTTTATTACAGATAAGTAAAGAGGAAGGGGGCTCATACTTCCCTTTCTCAAGCCATGGATATGCCCCAGCCTTTGTCAGGAGGAAAAGGCAAGTCTGGCCATTGCTGGAATGTGAGCTCCAAAAAATACACACACACACACACACACATTTTTTTTTTCTTTTGAGATGGAATCTTGTGTCATCACCCAGGCTGGAATGCAGTGGTGCCATTTCATCTCACTGCAGCCTCCAGTTCCCGGGTTCAAGCAATTCTCCTGCCTCAGCCACGCGAGTAGCTGGGATTACAGGCATGCGCCACCATGTCCGGCTAATTTTTGTATTTTTAATAGAGACGGAGTTTCACCATGTTGGCCAGGCTGGTCTCAAACTCCTGACCTCGTGATTCTCTCAGCTCAGCTTCCCAAAGTGCTGGGATTATAGGTGTGAGCCACCATGGCCTGTTGAGCTCAGAATATTGACCCTGTCTTTTTTGGGAGGAAGACAGCACCAGCATGATACTTCCTAGAACAAACTGCAGAGATCCACTGACCCACTGCTGTTTTCTGTTCCAGTGGCAGAGTGCCTTTAGTCCCTTTGCTCCGATCCCATATGGAGCTACTGAACCCTCAGGTGGAAGAGTTCCCAAACAAGGCAACCGAAATTGTGTCTAATAACTGGTTTTATTTCTTCTGATTATTTCTTTTAAATTTAAGGATAATGTATCATGATGATTTTGAACTTGGAAATGAGGAGAGAGCTGTGCTAATGTTTGTGCAATTTTCATAAATAAGAAAATAAGCTATGGCTATATTTTCTTATATTTCTTACATAGCTATTTCTCATATAGCAATAGCTATAGATAAATCGTGATTATTGTAAGATTCTGTAATATTACTTACAGTGGGGTAGTCAGGAAATTTTTTTTAAGGAGCATTTCAGACATACACAAAAATAAAATAGAGTAATAAACCTCCATATACCTATCACCCATCTTCAGTATTTATCCGTTCATGGCTAATCTCACTTCTGCCTATATTTCTACTCATTTACCCATGCCAAATTATTATGAAGTTCATCTCAGACATTATATTTTATCTGTAAATTAGTATGTCTTAAAAGACCACAGCATCATCACACCCACACATCAAGAAAGAAAATGAAGAAATTTTTATTCCCTTGTCACCACTTCTTTTCTCAAGTAATTATGCCACTTTTCCTGTGAGGTTTCATATGCATGCTCCTGTTTAACACATTGAGAGGGTGTCTAAGCTATGTGATGGGAGTTTTTGCATGTAGATTTGTCATCCCGTGTTAGATGTGAGGCTTGTAGAGATGGTCACTGGCATGAAGAACTTGCCAAAGATGAAGAGAATTCTGGCTGCGTTAGTTTTTCTTCCCTACCAGCTTACTGGAGTCATGTTGTTTCTTGGTGTTTGCTCTCTCTTTCTAATTTTCATGTTCCCTCAAGAATGCTCACATCCTGGACAGGGAAGATGTCCCGAAGGTCCTGAGGACCATAACCTCAGCATTCACATATTCCTAGACACCCTGAGTGCCTTCTCTGAGCCAGTCACTAAACTCCACGCAGGGGATACACACATAAACGCCTGGTCCTCTGCACTGAGCTCTAAAATGAGGCAAAGAGTGAGGCTAAGCGATTTAAAACCTGTAAGTAGCATTTTCTTTTTACCACTCTGCTCCAGTCCAACCTAGAGGAACCGGTGGAATTTGTATGCTGTCAATTTGGAAGCCTGAATAAAATCCTGCACTGTGTCAATTCATCACAGTGTTGAGCTCCCCTACACAACTTCCTTTGTGGAGAGTTGTGTAAACAAATGATCTCACTCCTAACATAAATGTAAGATGGGCCAGCTAAATGCCCTTTGCTGACTTAATTTAAACCTAAGAGCCAGTCCCTGCCATACTCATTTCATTGGGGCCTGGGCTCTAGGAAAGTGGCACTAGAGGTTACAAAGTTATTTTCTAGTGAAATGTTACATTTCCCTGTAGTGAGTCTATACCAGTCAGGCAAAAGGTGAAGTATGTTTTATTGTAGCTAGAATTACATTACTTTAGTCCAAACAGTACAATTTCATCCATAAAAGACAAAATCAGCTTAACAAGTGAACTTTATTTGGTATCAAAGTATTTTAAAATATGGGGACCATGGGGATAAATTAAGAGAGGAGGTCCTTGGTGGTAAAAGGTGGAGACCATCATTGTGGAATCTTGCATTTTCTAGTAAGATTTGTAACAGTCCTACAAACTTGGACATAAATTTTTAATATTTGGCAAGGAACATTCACTGTATAATTGTTAATAGCATCAAAAATACAACCGTTATCAATAAATACTTGATCTGTCCATGAAGACATATTTATCGTTATCTAAACCTCACATTATTTCAGCGTATTTATTCCACATATACCGATAGACATGTTTTCACATTGTAGCATCTCTCAAATCGAAATACTTCTAAAAATTGGTAGTATGTCGGCCAGGCATGTTGGCTCACGCCAGCACTTTAGGAGGCTGAGGCGGGTGGATCACCTGAGGCCAGGAGTTTGAGACTAGCCTGGCCAACATGCTGAAACCCCCTCTCTACTAAAAATACAAAAACTAGCTGGGCATGGTGGCAGGTGCCTGGAATACCAGCTACACGGGAGGCTGAGGCTGGAGAATTGCTTGAACCCAGGAGGCGGAGGTTAAAGTGAGCCGAGATTGTGCCATTGCACTCCAGCCTGTATGACAAGAGCGAAACTTCATCTAAAAAAAAAAAGGTTGTATGTCCCAATTTCCCGATATTTTTCCTACTGGTGCATAAAATTAAGATACATTTTACAATCTCTGGCATCTTATATTTGACAAAGCATGGTAATTTGAGTGACACCTATATGCCAGTCACTTTAAAGCTTTGGAGTTTATAATTGTGACCAAGATAGATGGAATCCCTGTTAATGAGTTTATATTCCAGCAGGGAACATAAACAATAGCTATAGATAAGTCGTGATTATTAAGATTCTGTAATATCACTTAGGGTGGAGTTGTCAGGACATTTTTTTAAAGAGCATTTCAAACATACAAAAATAAAACAGCGTAATATACCCATCACCCATCTTCAGTAATCGTTCATGGCTAATCTCACTTCCACCTATATTCCTACCCATTAGCCCATGCCAAATTATGAAGTTCATCCCGGACATTATATTTTATCGGTAAATTAGTATGTCTTAAAAAGGTGACCACAGCATCATCACATGCACACATCAAAATAATCGGGAAAGGAATTCTGATTCCAAAAAATGGAGTAAACATATTTTTCTCCTTCTAAGCTCATTTAAAAAGCACTGAACATTATATATAAGACAAACAAGAACACCTTTCTACCTTTCAAAGAAAGGTAGAAAAAAGAAGGCAGATTGGCTAAAAAGAAGGCAGATGTTGGGAATCAAGGAATAATATAGTGGTGAGTTCCCTGGATTTTTTTTACTGTCTTGTATATCCCATACTTACTACCGGTTACTGGAGAACCCAACAACCTGGAAAGGCTGCATACACACAAAGGCTCAAGAGGAGCCTGTTCTCTGTAGCTAAAGGACCAGGAAAGTGCAACCAAAAAAGTCTTGAAAGCGGAGAGCAGTGACACATTGTCTGTAAGACAAACACAAAAAAGGAAAACTAAGAGAATTGCCAGCAGACCTGCCCTAATACAATGGCTAAAGGAAGTTTTTTTAACGGCCCAAAGATCTTTAAAAACAAAAAACACCTATTATGGCATGAATTAGTAGAGAATAGGTTCTGGCAGTTCAGGCTTCTTCCAATTGGTTCTCAGAAAGTGCGCTTCTCTTTGTTAAGATACCTTTCTCTTTGGCTTCCTTCTTTTTCTGATCATTTTCCTT